CCGGCTGTGCCCCTTCCTGGATTCCCTTCCTGGATTCCGGTGAAAATTAACCCTGTCCTGGCCAAACCCAGGACACTTCTATAACAAATACTAATTCTCCACATAACTACCAATGCATTGTGGTTCTAATACTCACTTAAAAGTTTTCTTGCTGCAGGTGTTGCATTAGGTACTGTTTTGAAGAACGTGCTGAATCATATCTTGTTGCTTGGGTCACATCTTTAGCTTACTGAACCCATAAATGAAAACTATGATGTTCTAAACTAGCAGCTTACATGGCCATAGAAACTTCTCATCACCTTACAGCCAACTCATGACTACAAGACAAATTTAAAAGAGAAATGACTATGACTGGAAGCAACAAGTCGCAGTGAAGTATCAGAAAGCCAGACTTCACCAGCTGTTTAATTCACCGGATTTCTCCCCAGAAGAGAACAGCTTAGAGTTCCTGTCTGCAAAAGCAACTGCTGAAGAGCAGAGGGGGTTTTTATTACTGGCATGCAGTTGTGCAAGGGAACCAGGCCTCATTATTAGAATCTGCCTTTGGTATTATTAGCTGGAAGAACTTTGGGAAATACCACCTACACAACCTTTGAGATACAAAGCTAAAGTCTTCAGGTATTACAAACATGGTTTTCAAGTGTTTACAAAGTTTACTGAAATAACAAATTAGAATTAAGCAAATTTTAATGTCTTAAACTGACTGCATGGAAGTATGGTTTCCAAATATAAACTGTCCTACAAGTAACAGTGTCATCTTTCCAAGGGGGCACCATATCCCAGTACTAAATAAATGAGCTTATTTCCTGGGTATCCATCAATCCAGCATGAAAAGGGAGTTTCTAGTTAAAACAATTCCCAACCCTTCAGAAAGTGTGCCTGAAGAAGTCATGCAGTTTATAATAGTCGGTGTTGCATCCTCTACTGGCAAAAGTGATTATAACTGAACTTTCTAATAGAGAACAGCATCTTTCAGTTTTGTACTGAAGTGACTGGCATCTCTTGGGAGACAGTACTCGCCTGAAGTAATCTGCTGATAAGATCTACGTAGTACCTTACTCATAAAAATTCTCATAATAAATCAAACCAAAGGTTATTTCACTGAAACAGGATTTGGAATGAAACTTTTTTCTTCCTTTCATGTAATTACATTTTTTGTAATTTATTCCTGATATAAAATATTAAACTACTATTTGACTTAGAACTTGGACACTATGGTCAGACTGAAAGAATGTGTATATATATATTTATGTATACATACATATTCAAAAGATATTAAAGCCAAAAACCTGGAAGCTATTTTCCATTTAGCTCACAATCCCTATTTCTGTTAATGATCTTCAGTCAGGTTTAACAGACAAACATACACAATATCTAACCCAGTGATTTACAGTTATAAACAAGCAATCCATGCAGCCATGAAAATTTGGAACTAGAACATAACTTTAAATACAAATACGTATTTTATATCTGTAACACAGTTTTTCTTTAAAGCAAACTTTTTTTAAGCTTTAGTTCTCCAGCTGACATAACTTCAAAAAAAATTAATGAACTCAAGAGAACTTTATTAGTACATTTTACATTACCTTCAGGTAAACCTTAATCTTTTGCAAAAAAAAAAAAAATCAAGTTTGAGCTGTCAAGCAATCACCACTGAAAGGATTTGTATACTGCATTTTATTTTCTTTGCTAGTGTACCTTTCAGTGCATTTTTAAGGATAAATTGATAAGGTCCTAAAGACAGAGTTTTAAAATGAAATGTTAACTGTCCTCTAATAACAGTAATGTGAATGTAACACTAATGAGCTCACCAGGTACACAAAAATGTATTTGTTAAACTTTCGAGTGCAATAAAAGCAAATTTTCTTTTTCTCTATAGGAAAAAAGAGCTCTACACAGAGACTTGATGCCTTACCTCTAGGTCACAGCTGTATTCCGTGCCATCCAGAAGCATCACTTTACATTGCATGGTTTTAGTTTTCTTGGGAGACTTCTGAGGAATGCTTTCTGTTTTAATTTCAGCTGTCTGTACTTCTTTTGTCTCCCTTTTTTCTTCTTGTTTTTCTCCCTTTTCCTCTGCAACTTTCTCTACTTCCATTTCTTTACGATCTTCTTTGGCAGGCTGTATAAATACAGTTAAACAATGACTGAAACTCAGGAAGGTGGATATTTTTAACTTGTTCATTTCTTTTATAAGCTACAAATAAATAAGACATTAAGCTTTCATTAAAGTTATGAACATGCTGGAAGCACAATAACCAGTGTAAGCATTAAAGTCTTCCTTTGCAGACCAGATATTCTTGGCCCTCAAACCACAGACAGTGCCTTTCCCCCCTCCCCCTTTCCTTGAAATGAATTTTTTTTTTTTTAATGTTTTAATGTTTATTTTTTTCGTAACAGAAACAAAATTTAACAAGAAGCTCCGGGAATTACACAAAACTAAAACCAGTGTTTATGAAAATCAAGTTATATAGAATCATAGAATGGCTGAGGTTGGAAAGGACAGCTTGAGACCATCTAGTCCAGTGCCCCTAGGGCCACATACAGTCCTGGGCAAACTGCTCTATCCACTGGGGTTTTGAATATCTTCACAGATGGAGGGTCCACAATCTCTCTGGCCAACCTGCTTCAGTGTTTGACTCACCATCACAATAAAAAAGATTTTTTGTGATTTGAGATGGAATTTCATGTTTTGAAGTTGTGCCCACTGCCTTTTGCCGTTTAACTGCATACCACTGAGAAAAGTCTGGTTCCTCTTCACTCCCTCCCTTTAGGTACTTATATACATCGATAAGATTCCCCTGATCCTTCTCTTCTCCAGGCTGAAGAGTACCAGTTCTCTCAGCCCCTCCTCACACGAAAGATTCTCTATGCCCTTAAACATCTTTGCCACCCTAGAATATGAGGTTTGCATGTTAAGAACTGACAAGCAACTTTTCAAAAAGCAAGACTCTGGAGCACTGCAGAAGGTGGCATTTGCCTTGGAACTCAACACCAACCTCCCAGAATGAGTCAACAAGGACAATAACCACAAGCACCTTTCTGAGGTAAAGGATAACAAAAAATGAGATCATAAGGACTCAGAGATAATCTATTTGTTATTTCTTGTGGTTAAGTCACTAAGGAGGTATTTGTGCAATCCAACAGCTTCAGAGACAAAGCCGACTTAAGAAGCTTCTCTTATCCCTGCTCATTTCTACCACAATGATACAGTTCAATGTTCCTTTGAACTACGCCAAAGTGTGAGGTTATACTATAATTCGACATCTAGAACAACTGGAATAAAAATGCTCTGCCACAGAACAGGAACCTTTAAAAACAGCTATGCTACTCATAACTACATCAACTCAACCATGCAGAAGTCCAAACACTAGCTGTCATTTTTTCCCTGATATGATCCTAACAGAGCCTTATATGAATTACATAAATCAGGAATCAGGTCTCATCAAAAATACTCCAAAGCATCCATTAGCCTTCCCACACGTACCTGCGTTTCAGCACTACTAACAGAGTGTTTTTCTTCTTTGTCCTCTGCTTTAGCATTAAGCTGATGTTCAGCTGCTGCTTCTTCTAAGCTTTTTGGCTGAGCCGCACCCTCTGCTGTCTGGCATTCACCTTCTTTAACTGCTTGTTGTTCCCCTGCGATCCTTTTCTTGGTCTCATCTTTGGGCTCTGCCAAGGTGTACGATTTTTGTTTCTTAAGCCAGGGGGGAAGAAAACGAGAAATACCCTTGCTTTCAGGTGAGGCTTTTTCCTTCTTCTGGCTGCTTGGACTACTTTGGCTAGCTGGTGCTGGGACAGAGGAAGAATCTTGAGCTTCTTCCAAGGATGCTTCACTGGACTTCTGATTTTCTGGATTTTCTGATGCTTCTTCAGGCTTGTCCTTGGCTTTGTCTGGTCCCAGCTGCTCAGAATCTTTCTTTACTTCAGTCTCTGAACCAACTTCAGTTGTCATTGTCACAACTTACACTAAAAAAGGCAACAATAAAAATAGTTTTGTTACATAGCATCATTATTTTTACTGACTCTTACATTATTTGCAACAATTTGTAGTAACAATCTATAAGGGTTTCTAAGTTAAAGTTACTGGGGTTAAAGAAATGCTTCAAATTCTCCGTTCACAAGTAGAACCAGTAAGCTAACACTTAGTGCTCTGCCAATGAAGATTTTCAAATATACTACTCTAGAGAAACAGATCTACCAATAGTTTCCTTCTCAAGAAAAACGCAAGTGTGCTCACTGAAATGCATTTGTTTTATTGTAAGCTATTCCTATTGTTATTGGACAAGATTATTTCATGAGTAACTTCAGTTCTCTTTCTACATGGCTCCTTGGTTGACCCAGAAGTTCAAATTTTAGAAAAGCATCTGCCTTCTCTAGTAAAGACCGGTAAACGCAACCCCCTACTATTCCATGACACTTATCAACATAACACGAGTCTTACACAGAAGGTCTTTTTGCATGCTTCTAGTTACTCCTTATGATATTAAGAAAAGCCATTCAAAGAGACTCAGTTAAAATATTCATACTCTTAAGACCTTATGTAACTCTTCCATCCTCCTTATTATCCATACCTTTTCAGCAAAGTAACAACCAATAGGCTTACAGTTGACAATACCAGAAGCAGACATTGATTTGAGATGGGAATTCACAGCTTTAATATTTCAGTTTTATTTTACAGTCAATTCTGTTGCATTTAAAGTTAAGGGTGTATTTTCACAATTCCCTTATCTCAGTCCATTGTGAACCAGTGGTGGGGACAGAGGAAAATGAAAGAGCAAGCTTACCAAAGAACAGGAAAAAAGCATGGTGAGCATCATACTGAGTTTAAAAAATTAGAAATTGTATGTGAGTGATACTGTTGAAATGACTAGTAAGACTAGGAAGCGTACTTTTTTTTTTAAAAAAGATCAGGTTCTTAAACATGAGTTCATACTGATCAACATGAAATTATACATAACTTTTATACTCTCACCACTTCTGACTGCTGTTCCTTCAGTGAAATTAAAGACAAATCATAACACTGTAACAACAGGATATGCAATAGTAATCTTTAATCTTAACATTATTTGCTATTTCTTGAAAAATACAAACTAGAATAAACAAATTTTGTTAGATGTGTGGTACTGGATTTTGCTGCATTACTTTGAAGATGTTGAAGTGAGCCAACAAAAATAAGCACACCAGCGTCCAACAAACAAAGTTGAAAATGGTTTGATCCCACTAGAAGTCACTGATATTTATTTATAACCTTCTTCAAACAATTAGTTTTAAACTGATGGTCTGCTTGTCTGCCCTGAAGGTTAGCAGGTTAGTTACAATCCCATTTACAACTTTTAAATCTTGGGCTCTCTCCATTAAAAATTATTGCCATCAATGAAAAAAACTTAACACTCCGGCCCCAAAAAAGAGTCAAGGAGAAGGTAATCTTGTTGAGGCTTGATGCAGTTAACTAGCATAACACTTTACACTGCACTTCAGGCTAACTAGAAACTAGTTTAGATCACAGGGCAGCAGCAACATGTTGCCTCTAGGTTTCCAAAGCACATTCATAAGTAGTCAGAAATAAAGTTAAACTAAGCCATTCCCAGGGAGAAAAAGAATGGGGGGTGTGTGTGTGTGTGAAATAAGGAAACTAATAGATTAATAAATGCCCAAATATACAAGAGAGAAGCCCTTCTCACAAAATATATAGACAATATTGAGACAAAGGAAACAAACTTCACAGTTATCTTAGTAAAAAGCTTAGACACAGGAGGCTTGAACTATCTACAGATTCATATTAAGCAAGCATTTTGAGACCAAAAAGTAACTACGTGTTGTGGGTGTTTCTTAGCAAAGTTTAAAGTAATGAACAATCTAAACCAAAACATTCACCAATGGGACAATTAAAAGAAAAGCTAATATCTTTATTACTATACCAAAGACTTCTGAATACATGTCAAGCTTAAATATTAGTTATGTAGCCATTTCCTTCACTTTTTATAAAACCCTTCAAATTTGTTCTGATAGAGTATTAATATTTATGTAAATATTATTTATCTCAGAGGTAATACATATCTGGACAAGTTACAGAAAACCAAAGTCAACTTTCCCAGAGAGAAAAATCCACAAACTTCTGCTGATCAGAGAATAGCAATCCGTGCTGCTTAACAAACTCACAATGGAGGTTTCATCATTAACAGAGATAGTGGTGACTTTTTTCTCACGCATCTCTAAGAAAGAGCCAATTTCTTCTCATAGAGTAGCTAAAAAATTCTAGAGAACTTGATAAACAAATCTTCAAAGAAGCTACAGGAAAAGGAAAATCACTGTATATCATGCATGCTATTTTTACATTTGAAAAAATGCAGAAATGCGTGGAATACATGTACACACTAATAAAAATTAATTCTATACCATTCTTGAAATTAAGATCATATTTTGCTTATACAGTCAGATAGGAGGTATCTCCAGAAAATTCCATAAAACTGAGAAAAATAAATCACCCTGTAAACATTTTCCTATGATGTTGTTCTAACGATAAAAGGAAATGCAGATACCAAGTTACACCTCTCTACCAATTAAATTTAGACAGGATAGCAGTGGGCGGTACAAACTCACTCAGTGTGAAACAAGAAAGATTCTACATCTCCACGTGTCCAAGCTTTTCATAACCAAAATTACATTTAAAAGGAGAACTTGGCTTTATACTGCAGAAGCAAGGGAAACTTGTTACAGCCCCTGTCTGAATAGGTCTGTCCATGTTCATTTAATGCCTTCATTTGATGCCCGCAGCAGGAGGTGATTTCTTTCATGAGCTCAATTTCCCACAAACTTGTAACTTTAGTGCTTTTCCAGGTGAAAAAAATGAGAGAGGAAAAGCCTACAAAACAAAATGCATCTCTTTATAAGCCTGTAGATTTCATTATACTCGCAGCACTCTCTGAAAGAGTTGACAGAGATTGATGAATTTACTGAACAAGGGCACTGACCCTCACTGAGTGTGAGGGATAGTCTTCCCAAAATATCTACCTTCTCCAGCACACGAGCTTGCTGCATTTCTTTTTTCTAGAGTTTCATTTTGGCACAAGAAATAGGCACCCCTGGAGAAACAGAAAATCCGGTCTACCTGCCCTTCCTGTACTCACTACTTCAATGCGCTGTCAGATCCTCCACTTCTGTAGCTCACAGAAAAAACAGAGGTAGTGGAGGACAAAACACAGGGGTTCTGCAGTCAGAGTCTACTGTTGCAGGTGATAAAGTCTGATGTTACTTTCACTACAGTCAAGCAGATCATCTGGAAATGTCTTTTTTCCTGATCTGAGAGGGAAGACCTTGCAACATCCCATCCAGCTCTGTCTTAACAGCCAACCATGTGTCAGAAAGAAAATGGTAATAAGAAGCAGACAGCATTGTCTCAAAAGTGAGATCAGGAAGAAATATACCAAATTAGGATGAACATCTACAGTTCTAAACTTTAACTGCATCTTCTCCTTCCCTCTTGAATCCAAGTAAACACTGTAAACACCGATCTGCTCTTACTATGTAGCGTAAGCACACAAAGTATTATTCCCCTTTAATTTTCTTAAGCTCTTTAACAGCTGCAGCAGGATAGGGTTCTGCTTATCTCACCCCTTTCATATTGCAAGGTAACATTAAATCCATATTTTCTTTTGAAAGGAGAGTAAGAGTAAGAATCTTGCAGCAAGAGCGGACAGCAGAGAAGGAACCTTAGGGTTCCTTGGAAGGACTACCCAGGTCTGAGTAAACTGGGAAAAAAAAAAAATCTTGGCAGATTTTGCAATTGACATTAAACCCACGCACATTAAACTACTAGTGATAACATCTGTATCTTTTGTAATCCTCCTGAAAACCTGGTTTATGCAGACTGAATGTCTACCCAAACAGCAAGGAGCAAGGTGGGAGCAGTAGGGCAAAAAGTATTGGAAACAACCTCACAATTTCTGAAGAGGAATTAAGTTTGTTAAAACAGGTCCCACTTCTGGGGAGCAGATGTTTTGCCCTAATCAGAACTCTACCAACTTCCCCAAGCAAAGGTGCTGGCCAGCAAGCAACTGAAGACAACAGCTATTCTCTCCCCTCTTCATTCATCCCTTCCTCTCCCTTTTTATTCTGCTGCAGAGAAACTAATGCTGGCCACAGTTCACATCTGAAAGCACGGCAGAATACTATGTTCTTTCTTTGAAATGGAGTTGTCTGACTAGATGGATTCCTGCTGCCATAGGTAAATCAGAAACAGAAGACAGAGTATAACAGGAAGTTTATAAAAAAAACAAACAACCCAAATCACAACTGAATATCCTGAAAAGTTACAGACAACATCAATCTAAAACCATAGAAAGCTTCTTTTCACTGCAGGAGAAAAGATGCATCTTAGGTTCACTGTTTCTGTTATGGTATTTCTTATTCTTCAGCACAGATAAATAAATCCAAATCCTTTTTCCATGTATTTCCGGAACTTACTTTACTCATTTTCTGAGTATATTAATGTAGGAAAAGGCAGTTGTAAAAGGGTTTTTTCTTTTTCAGTTTGTCACTGAAATTCATAGCAAACTCCAAAATCAAAACTGCTTTGATAATCTCCACCAGTCTACTAGGATTCACACAGAAATCATCATATCATAGAGGCAAAAAAATTCATCCTACTTCTATTGAAATAAATTACAACTTGGTACACTAAAAGCCAACACTGGTGTCTGCGCAAGTCATGCAATTTTCTTGATCGCCACAGTTATTAATAAACCTTTTAAAGATCAGTAACTTCCTAAAAATTAACTAATTGCACACTTGCACTTCCAAATATTAAAGCTCACATAGGGTACACATAAAAGAACAAGAAGAGAGTCAAAAAAATTTGAACATCTGAAAAATATACACAAAAACCTGAAACAATGTCATGTGTACTTCAACCGTTTATTTGGACAGTTTTTTATTTTGTTTTAAAGAAAGTGT